TACGGAGGAAGCTACAATGGCTGTGAAAACAGTCCAATAAGGAGGAAGCTAAAATGGCTGTGAAGACAGTCTAATGCGTAGCAAGGCGAGCCTCAGCCTGGACGAGGTCGACAGGCACAAGGTTGATGTGACGGCGGCGAACGGAGCGTGATCCTCGAACGCACCGGATCGCAGACCTAGCAAGAGAGAAAGCCAAGCAGCAGCGCATCCAGCAAACGACTTTGCTGTAGCTCTCCTTGCGCTTAGAAGCCAGAGCATCAGCAATCCGCTTGACGACGATGGCTGCCTCTGGACCCATTCCGCCGCAAGAGGAGAAGACCAGTGGTGTGAACGAGCCATGTTCAACTTGGTTAACTCTTTCGCCATACTCCCGCTTCTTGGCACCTTCCAACTTGCGATAAATAGATGCAATGGGCTGGGACCGATAGCTCGCTGCGTGGGGATAGAACACCCTCGTATCGAAAAATGCATTGCGGCTATGGTTCCAAAAGCCCCGCACCCGGATGTCCGCTCGCGCATCGGGCTCAACATTGGCAGTACGCCAGTCGTACTACTGACAAGCCTGTCAGCACCAAGTACGACTGGTCGATCGTACGTGAAGCCGCCAACCGCCACAGGAAGCCCGCAGATCTGCGTGGAGGTAAGAAAATAACACGCAGAGTTGTATTCGTTGGGGGCATCAATATCAACTGCAGTGCTGATGATCTTGTTGCGTACTGTAGAAAGAAGAATGTGGAAGTTACTGGCTGTAAACTGATCCCCTCCAGAACAGTGTATGGCACGTTGTACGCACATCTGACAGTTGCTGAGCATGACGAAAGAAATGTTCTGGAAAACGATTTCTGGCCCGAGCATGTAACAGCACGAGAATGGAAGTTCAAGAACCCACCCCTCCCCAAGAAATCATAAACTGTGATGTTGAATCCACACGCACCCATCTTTTTTCCCACTAGGACCACATCGACACCATCATCTAACAGTGTGTCAGGGCAACTGAACCCAGATGCACCTACCTTCACTCTCCCATCACCATACGATACCTCAGCCTTTATACCAAACAAACATCCCCATCATATGCGGCTAGCCACAACCAATGCTTGCAGCTGGTATCCAAAGGCCGATGAAATTAATAACATATTTGGTACTTCAGACATGGACATATTAGGCATCACCGAAACCTGGCTAACTCAGAAAATTCCTAACTCTGTATTACTGCCAACTGCCGCTTTTGACATAGTGCGAAGAGACCGCCCATCTCATGTCGCTCTGCGTGGCGGTGGTGTTGCTTTCTTACTCCGACCAGGACTCGCCTACGTCAGACGAGCAGACCTCGAGCCTGCCAACACCAACCTTGAAATCCTATGCATTCAACTTAAAAATGGCCACAAAGATGTCTATATTTTCTACTGTTATCGGCCACCAAGGCAGGATCATTCAACCTTCCTCTCTGGCTTGCGTGAGTCCAACTCTTCCATTACGGACACTACGGCTTCCATTATCATCCTCGGTGACTTTAATGCTCGGCACAACGAATGGTATAGGCAGGACCCGAACACTGCTGCTGGAAGATGCCTTGTCAAACTGCTGGATGATACTGGTTTTACACAACTTGTACGCGACCGCCCAACACGTTTCTCCGCCGCAGGTCAGAGCTCTTCTCTCCTGGACCTTGTTCTCTGTAACCAACCATTCCTCATCCACAACCTCACCACACTTCCCCCTGTTTCTGATCACTGTCCTGTGGTATTTGATCTCGCAATACAGACTCGTTCCCAGCAACCAGTGCACTCTGATTTGCTCGTGAACAACTATGCAGCCACAGACTGGCCGGCACTTAATAACCACCTTTGGAGCCTCCCTCTTCTCGCTGCTGTACAAGAAGCCAGTAGTACAGATGAAGCATGGGTCGCCTGGCGAACACTAGTTGACACAGCCATATTATCTTTTGTTCCGAAGGTTCGAAAACGAACAAATCGTTACGGAAAGCCTTGGTTCACCTCTGTGCACCATCGCCTCCGTCAACGTCGAGATCGACTATTTGCTGCAGCAAAACGTGTCAATACCCCTGAGTGCTGGGCTGCTTATCGCATTTCAAGGAACTGCCTCGTCGCTGCCATCCGTAAAGCTAAACGTCACTTCTACGACCAGATGTCAGAAGGCCTTCATGCAGATCGAGGATCTTATGACTGGTGGAAGAGAGTCAAGAAAATGTGCCACATCAATTGTCCTCACACCGCTATACCTGATATACAAGGAGTCGATACCTTAGCGGTTACCGACCCTGAGAAAGCGAACATCTTCTGTCAACAGTTCGCCAAGAATAGTCAAGCTACACCGTCGTCGGATGCAGATCATCGTGATCTCGCCATGCCTTCTTCTTCGGAAACATTTGCCATCCGCCCTCTGTCTATCGTAGAAGTATTCAAGGCACTGTCGACCCTAAGTGTGCGAAAGTCTACAGCTGGCAGTCTTCCTAACAGGATCCTACGAGAGACAGCAGAAGTGCTCGCCCAATCCCTCACTGCTCTCTTTAACCGCTGCACCACTTACCGATCCCAACCCCTTGAGTGGAAAGTTGCAATCCTTACCCCAATTTACAAGGGTAAGGGAAGTCGCAATGACCCTGCTAACTACCGGCCGATATCTCTGCTGAATGGTGTGGCAAAATGCTACGAAGCGTTAATCAGCCGCCAGGTGTACGCGTTTGTAGCGAAACACAAACTACTGTCGCCGAAACAGTTCGGGTTTCGCCACCACCGAAGCACGGTTGACCAACTTGTGCATATCACATCAACTGTCAGCTCTGCATTTGATAACCGGGCCCAGTGTGATGCCGTCTTTCTCGATTTCTCGAAGGCATTTGATCGTACCAGCCATCGCCTCCTAGCCTCATGTCTGTCCGGTTGGTGTGCACCTGACTCATTCGCGTGGCTGATGGACTTCCTGGAAGGCCGATCGATGTCTGTGCGGGTCGGAACCTCCTTATCAACCCATATGTCGCTCACCGCTGGTGTGCCACAAGGCTCCCACCTAGGCCCTCTATTATTCAACCTTTCTATCAACTCCCTTCCCAGCATTCCCCAATCCAGCGATCTGACTCTGTTTGCGGATGATTCCAACATGGTCTGCGTTTCTCCGCCTACTGTCGTACCCGCCGCGCACACTGCCTCCCTGCAACTAGACCTTGATAGATGTGTGAACTGGTCCCATAAAGCTGAAGCAGTTTTCAATGCTAACAAATGTGTCCATGTTCCCTTTTGCAGACCTAAATCAAACCCACCTGATCCCAGGACCGTCACCATGGCCGGTACGTTACTGACCCAGCCCTCTTCCCACCGCCATCTGGGCATCATCCTCACTCCTTCACTCAATCTGTCCCCCCATATTCAACACATTACCAGCAAATTTCGAGGTCGGGTTTTTCTTTTAAACCATATGTCCAACTTCCTTCCTTTTCCTGCTGTGAATCTTTTGTATAAATGTTATGTTCGTCCCCTCCTTGAATATGCTGTTCCCGTTTGGATGTTTTCCGTTTCAGCCGCCATGTCCACAACCCTTGATAAACTGCAGGCTACTGCTGCTAGAGCATACTTAAATAGTAAACTCAAGCGTCGGCCTGACTGGACGACTTCCAAAGAAGACCTCAATGTTCTGTCCTCTTGGGAATCGTTAGCATGGCGACGGCAGATTCTTGGCCTTGTCTATTTCCACCATGTATTCTCCCAATACCCCTCCTTGTTGTCTCACTTCCAGCTACCCTCTTCCCAAAGCAGTCGTCACCCTTCATCCATAATTCTTCCTAAAGCTGGCACCTTCTTTCGTAAATCAACCCTTTTTCTTTGAGTGTTGCCTGGAATAAACTTCCTGAAGATATTCGTTCACTCTCTACAACAGCGAAATTTAGTATTGCTGTTCGTCGGTATCATTCGCAATCTATGTTTTATTTGAAAGGTATTCCTGACTTTTGTGTCTAGGCTAACCACATCTATGATAGTTTCAATAGTTTGTGTATATGTCAGTTATAGTAGTCCGCAATGCTGCTTTTCTAATTCTCATTATGATTAGCATGCAATGTACTACCCGAAGTACTGAATTTACTTCTTCTGTACTCTATATTCTAATGCATCTTCTACCTCTTCTCCCTTACGAACATACTTTCTCATTTTCCATACTTACTTAGGAGACTCCCTTCGATAGGCATCTATTTGCCTCTGGAGGATCCGTGAAATAAAAATCAATCAATCAAACATGTATTTGAGATACCGTACATGCAGTCATGTAGTCATGTACATGGTATATTCCTTGGAGGAGTTCGAGGTCATCTCGTAAAATGTAACTGCCACTTCGTAATTCGTAACTAACTGATTACCATTGGACTGAATTTCACCGGAGCGATGTTCGTTTGAAAATTGAAGTAAAATGTGCGATTGTGTCTGTTCAATTTTGAAGCCTGGCCAAGTAGCAGTTCATGCACGTCTGCTTTGTGCATCTTTTCCTATTGTGATTTTTATAATTCGACGAATCGTGCATGGTACGATGTCGAGTCACTTGAATTGAGTGAAAGTTCCTGAGAACCTGAGATTGGGTCCGAAGTGCGGGAATCAGCCAGGCCTGTAGCTCAAGCACCAAAACAGCTGCATAGGGAGCATAATTAACCATTCGTACAATATTGTGCTGCTGCTATGATGGTGCACTTGGTGGTAATCGTCGAAATGACCATAGAAGTGACAGTTTTCAAGGGCCAGTCCACTGCTGTACTGTAGATCTGTATTCAGACTGTAACTGACGTTGTTGTGTTGTGTTGTTACTTGGTCGGAGAAGCGCAGCAGCAGGCTCAAAGACTTCATACATGTACATGTAAGTGGCACTGGTATCTTTGAGCGCAGCATTACAGACATACGGTGCCAGCCTGTGAAACATGCTGCATGTACGCTACGGATAAATAATAAGTCATGGAACGATATAATTATTATGTAGGCACGTTTAGCGGGATTCGTATTTCTATCGACAGAGGTGACCATGCAAAGATTGGGTCCGAAATCCAGCCACAAGGTCGAGTGACTTGGTGACATCCCGGAACACCTGGCAAAGATGTCAACTCCTTGTTCAACTATCCTACAAAGCGCAGGCGCATAGTGTAGTGGAGTTCTTAGTTGCCGCTGCCAACAGGAGCAAAGAGACGGAAAAGTAAAAAATCTCGAACAGGGAGACAATAGTGAGTGTAGAATCAGATAAGCTGCTGTTGCGTTGTGCTCGATGTTTCATCTCTCAGCGTATCTCGCTGCACTGGCGGGAAGGAAACAAAGGTGATTGGAACAAGGGCCACGCTGCGCTGATATAGAGGGCCTGAAACGTCGTTACACTGATTCCATCGATTCACCTGCTGCACGCTAGGGGTCTTTGATCCAATGCTAGGGCAGTCTGGTACATGTGCTAGCGGCCAAAATTAGTCCCACTCTCTTCAGAACACTGGCATCTCTTCCAACAGGCCAGCTAGTGCGCGTTGATAGCAAAACACGGCTAGCATGGCCACGGCCAGTTCTAGTGATGACGTCTCGATGGCGTTACAGGTGGATGCAAGACCTCGAATGCCAACACCAACACCAACGCCAGAACAAGAGGGTAAGTTGCATGGGTAGAACCTCCTTGTGAGTGTGAAGAACACCCTCCCCCACCCCTTCACACACACACACACACACACACACACACACACACACACACACACACACACACACACACACACACACACACACACACACACACACACACACACACACACACACACACACACACACACACACACACACACACACACACACACACACACACACACACACACACACACACACACACACACACACACACACGTACACACACGCACACACACACACACACACACGCACACACATACACACATCACACACAAACACACATCACACACACGCACACGCACACACACACGCACACACACACACCCCTTCCCACTGCATTGTGACCTCTCAATGAAGGCTATTTGCATCGAAGGACAAGATTAGTTCAGTCCCAATCGTTACCAATCAAAGTGACCTTGAATTCTACATGGGGCCAATACAGCAGGAGATATTAATTTGTCTGATCGTGCACTGATATCAGAGGAAAGCAAAATTCTACTATAGTTGGATATGTTGAAGTACATGTACTTGTACAATGATTGTACAAACAATGTACTACATGTAATATCAACCAAGCGGCAAGAGGCCACGGAACAGACATCCAGTAAAAAACAAGCGGCAAGAGGCCACGGAACAGACATCCAGTAAGTCTCAAGCCGAAGACGTCAACCGACAAAGATGTGATCAAACCAGAAACCCATGTCCCTGGTCACGCCTGGTGTCAGAAACCCATTTCTCTGGTATTTCATCTTTCCAACTCCGGTATAACGGAATTGATTTCTTCATGCGGAAACTAGCCCTGGGATCATTGTGGATGATGATCGGACAGAAGACGCATACGCTATCCTGCAAGTGTCCTAGTCGGTTAAATACGCGCAGTAAAACAAAAGACGACGATAACCAGCAAAACAATTTACCTATCCTCTATTCCCCAATGACTATGGAGAGTATGTAGGACCAAAACACTGTGGCAGTGTGGGATCTACATTTCGCCTGGAACGGAAGCTTTCTTATTGTCACATCACACACATTTTCTTGCGTGGCATTGTGCCATTCTGGGAACCAGTCATCAGTCAAGGCCTGCTGAACAGGTCTCTTTGTTGCATGTAAGCCAAGAACACCAATGGCCCTGCGTTTGGTCCAATGGACTCCGCAAACATTTTCGAAGGACTGCAGTGTCTCAGCTCATAAATGTATTTGAGGTCATTTTCTTTGCATTACTCTGGGAGTGATTTTCCGGAACACCGAAGTAGTTTGCATTGGACAGGATCCAGGTCAACAGGGTTCCCAACTCCCCACCATAATTATTATGAGCCAACAGGACAATCCAGACTGCCTACCCACCTCTGTATATGTATGCAGGTCATGTGAAAACATTCGCAAGAACTACATGTACATAGGCCTGGGCGGATAATGCTAGCATTATGTAGCAGTATAGTGTGCGATTTGCAACGAGCATTATGCTAGCACTATAACACTACATTTCCACAAAAGTAGCATTATACTCAAATATGGAAGTTTTGGCCACTACAAGTCAAATGTGGGGTGGGAGCAGCTGATGTTTGTACAGTCATATAGCATTAGTAGTGCATTGGCTATGGCAGGAGGGCGGCAGTGCAAGGCACAACCTGTGTAGGATTGTCCAAACCAAGCCATTTCCCCTGCATAATATTGCGGTTTTGCTGGCATTTATAAAATTAGCATTATGATCATGATTTTCTAGCATTTTCCATGCCGTCTACGTAGAACTACGAAACGTGCACAATACTGCCCAAACCAAGCCATTTTTCCATACTTACTACTGGTGAATTTCTGGCATTACAGAGGAACAGCAGCATTATAAGTAGCATTATGATACAGTTTTTCTGGCATTGCTATTAGCATTATCCCGCAAAAATAACTAGCATTATCCGCCCAGGCCTACATGTACATCCTGCATGCATTAGGCCCAACGAGTATTTATTATACCGGTAAAACTACTTCTGGCAAGTTTCGTCGACTCCAACTTATTAACCTTCGTGGTAATAGAGATACATAAAGAAGGACGAAAACTCCAATGGTAGTGGTTATATTAGTGTGGTTTCGGTAAGTTAAGTAAAGTTGGCATGCATGTGGTTTCCGTAGTAAAGCCTCTTTCTTGTACGGGCAACATGTATTGCACATATCATCAAACAAAGTCAGTAAACTACTTCGAAGTATAAAAATCAATTCAAATACTAGTACATCAATTGGAACACAAAATAAAACATTCGGCAGCACCTCCAAATTAACAAGAAAGTTCAGCAGGCTTATGCAGGAGTACACATTACTGATCCATGTACAATGTACATGCACACAGAGCACAAAGCAGATTTGGCAAGGTGCTCACCCCAGGAAGAGGAGCCTGCGACCCAAGTAACTCTAATACAGAATGTACGAGTCTTGATCTACATGTGCATGTATATGTACTTGGAAAATGGATATGTAAGAATGGTTTCCGTGTACGCGCCATCCGGAGTGTTGATGTGGCAGAACCTTTTTTTAATTTTTTATCATCGGATCTCCGTGCCTCTCCCGGATAAACTACACCGGCCACTTGTACTTGTCCCTGCTGACACCCTCGACGGGTTAATACAAGGGCTCCCTATTAGTCCCCGGAGTGATTTTAAAAGTGGATTACAGAGTACATGCACAGGATCTGCTGGAAGGGTGAGTGGCTCCACTCAACTCGCCCTGGCCTGCTGAGCGGTAGGTCTACTCGAGGAGACAACTAACATTTTGAAGACATAAGTAGTTCATAACACGTTTGCACATGAGGTGAACCTCCACTGTACTAGTACTAGCTGCATGAAACGATGCCGGTTACCGGGTGGACATGGCTGGAGTAACCGGATCCTCCCCAGATTCTGCATTCTGGTGTGCACGGTTCGGTCCCATCCTGATGGCATTCGTCGGAGGAAATGTCTAGAACGTTCTCTCACAAATCGAAAATGTTACTACGTACTGTCCTGTGGATCCTACTGGCATTCCTCTGGAAGATCAATGATTCTGTACCAGTATAAGTATTACCAAGACAAGAGTGGGGTTATGTACTCTTCGTATTATACTTCACAGTACAATAGTGGAGCAAGGCTAGCTTGTTAAAACTCTGAGTTCCATGCTATGGCGCAATCACCAGGCAACACGGAAATTTAAATGGTAACCTTATTGCAGTGACTGAAAAGTATTGAAGGAAAACAGGGGATGCGGAAGTACTGTCCTGGGTGTGTTTCTATGGGTTGGGTGTTGGGGGTCGATGTGTGCATCGTACTGAAATTGACAAGTGTGAAGTTATGGGAATGCAATTTAATGGGTGCTGTCGTTCTTAACAATGTCAAGAATCCGGCAAGGGTTTGTGTTCTAAGTTATGATCACGTAGACCATGTACACAGGCCGTCAAGTCCTCTAAAATACTCCCTGGTTGGACCATTGCGTTCCTGCGCAAACAGGCAAGCATGCCTACATTCCAGCCAGGCTGTGCTGGCACTGACCAGATTGCTGATGAGATTCCGCTCTGACCCTATATTCACAAGTAATGTAGATCTACTTGTAGATCTGCGATAGCAACCAACTTCTGCCTGACTGTGCTTTGGATCCGAATATCTTGGCTTGTCTATTGTACTAGAATGAGCAGCTAGAGGCTAGTTGAGATTGATGGAATGGTTATGATGAAAAGCTGGTACATCAAATCGCACCGTTCATGATTGCCGAGATACTGACACCACAATACAAAATGCTACTACGAATACAACAACGGACGAGTTGTAAAAAGTCGCACCGAGAAACAGTCAGCTGGAGCAGTGGAGCCTGGAGGGTTCATGATGCCGGGCTAGGCTGTCGCAAGTACATTATTTTAGTTCAGGGAATCAGGTGCAAAGCACAGTCGTGCACACCTACTGTACAGTATGATTGTGTGAACAGTTCGCATGTAGCCTAGGCTACTGTAACATGTCCTACTACACTAGCAGTACTAGTACTACTGTCCTGAGTCCGTCGTTTTTGGCGCTGCTAGGCCTCCGCCGGGGTAGCGTAATCTCGTCGAGATCACACCATGATCACACTAGTATAAATGTTCAGGACGTAGATCTAAGCTACGACCCATCGGCATCGGGTGTTTCTTTCTGTGAGCATGCAAATGGTTTATATTTTTGCCTTTTTGGCAAAAAATACTGAAGTGCACTCATCAGCTCAGAATCTCGGCCGTTGGAAAGTGCTTTTAGTCAATACTACAACCGGTATTCACTTCTGTGCCTCCACGGAACCACCCGTACTCCATAACTCGTTCGTCCTTGTACCTTCGAGCAAACTCATTGCCAAAGATGGTCTTCCAAGATTTCTTTCCCTTTCCTCGAGCATTCTCGCCGGCCACTGGAGAGTGGAGACTCACTGTCATGTTCTCAGATGATGCTCGCTAGGTAAGTCCGCCATGCCATCCTCACCGCAATGCAGTGTGATGACACCGACAGAAAGTAGCTCCCAGTTGAACAGGCGGGCTTGTCCTTCTCTGTTAGCCCCTATACAGCTGTGTCAAAATAGAGGTTTGTCGTAAGGTACACTCTCGTCTCCCTTTGGCTTTGGGTCCACGGACGGTGTTCGTGTAAGGGAGACTTTTTTAATTTTTACATTGCTGCACAATGAAATCCAGTCGCGTCACTCAAGTACGCGCCGGGCATTGCGCAGCCCTACAGTCCATTTCAAAACTATAGACGCGTACCTGGGCAAAAACCGTTATGCCAGCATCTATACCACATAAAATCTGTGATAACTTTGTGCATAATTTTTCCAAATTGGGCGTCTGTTATCCAATCGTTTAGAAACTATAGGAGAGTAATTGTGGAGCAGACCTGAGCAATATTCCGAAAACTATTCTCAAAAAGGTCCAGCCAAATTATAATTTTTTCAAAAACCCTACGTGTCTATAGTTTTGAAATGGACTGTAGACCTGCGAACACAGGGCTGCGAATTGGTGCAAGGCGCAGACCTTGAGTGACGCGACTGGATTTCATTGAGCAGCACTGTACATGAACGGTGTATAGCATGATTGAAACTCTGTTTAGAGCCGAACTAAACTTCCACATTAAACTGTAACCAATTTTTGCATCACTCTCGCGGAGTCTCGGGATCTTGAATGTATATGTATGGTCTTGTTGCATTACAGATACCGAATTGGTTACGGATATCGAAGATGATGTCAAGGCCAAGGTGATTGAAGTTGAACTCGTAAGAAACCCTGTGCTGTTCCTGTGTGAGCATCAGCGTGAACTTCCCGCGCTATGTTACCTAATTCACTCCATGCATACTAGATAGCGGCTGATGTACCGTAAAATATCATTGATCTGCCTCCTGTCTAATCCCTTCCCCTCGCCACTCTTTCCTCTGTCGATGTTCTACCTGTGAAGTGAATTCAGCATATATTATTATGATATCAATACATGCATCGGATCAACACCGTAGTCTGGGTGTCTTCCAAGTATATTAGCAGTATTCGATGCATACCAATGTGGATGGAAGTGTGTACAATCCTGCACTTCAAATGCAATCATTCGTGTTGTAGACATTTCTGGGTTGTTGTTTTTTTACGATAGAGCCTGAATCCAATTCCCCCCCCCCCCCCCCCCTGAAATTTTCAACAGAGCTGGCAAGTGACACAGGGGGGTTTGGTGGTACTTACGACAACATCAGCAAAACACAGTGTAACTTAATAGTGCATCAGTGCAATTAGTATTCGGCATAGTGGCATAGTCGCTTTGGTGGTATTGGAACCCACAAGTGACACTCGCTAAGTAAATAGTGCCACTCCTTCAGAATTATAGCACTACCTTTCTCCGCATCACCGAAATTGTCACTTCCCACTCTCTGACATACCAACTAAAACAAGTATCAGAATGAGTGGGCACCTCCGCAATCCTTACCTCTGATGAATTGCACAGACTGAATTGATTCCTTCACTTTATTGATCTCTGCAGAGAGAATGAATGACTGAAAGATAGCCCAAAAACTCCACACTTTATCAAAAGTAGGTGCGGACCTCCAGGTCGTAAGGTGGTGACTTCATGTTTTCAACGACTTGGCAGCCCATTTAAACACATCTTCCTCCTGGCTGAATAGCAAAGGTGAAAACAAAATTCTCTAACCTGAATTTGAACACACGCCTGGTGCCACGTTTGCTGAAAAGTCACAGCAAACAGCAGCTGGAGCTCATGAAGGCGAGAAGAACACCCGATACAACAGCATGGGTTGTACTCATCGTCAGCGTCCCGATCGGGTACTAAACTTGTCGAATCACACTCTCATCGTGTGAGGGCGTATGCGGAAAAGTATATCCGAGGACTGCGAGAATAGATCGAGTTGTCTAGTTCTTGAAAGTGGAGCTGATGCAACCTCATCGTAGACTAGCAACGATGAGTCACAGCGAGCAGCAAGAACAGTTCTTGTGCATGCAAAGTTTGCTGACAAAACATTTTACTCCTGTGCTTTTCCTTGTTTTCAATATGGCCCTGTATTCAATAAAAATTTAATATAATCTTGTTGAACTTTGTTGAAATGAAGCGACAATTTTGGTGACGTAGAAGAAGCAGTGCTGCATCTCTACATGCGGCAACTCCGTTTGGTACCAGAATACACACTATGTTTGGTACCAGAATACACACTATGTTTGGTACCAGAATACACACTATGTTTGGTACCAGAATACACACTATGGTACCATAATGTACACTATGTTTGGTACCAGAATGCACACTATGTTTGGTACCAGAATACACACTATGTTTGGTACCAGAATGCACACTATGTTTGGTACTAGAATACACACTATGTTTGGTACCAGAATGCACACTATGGTAAATACAAGACAAGTAACTGGACCTTCAATGTTCTCGTAACAAACAAGCTGCTTGTAGCATGGTGGTCCCAACCGCCAGATGCTTGGCTATGATGAGAGTTGATCCAACTTTGTCACAGCAATCGTTATTCTATTGACTTCTGATGGCATTACTCTAGCCCTGTCGGCAAGTGGCCAGAGTATTATCTTCTCCTAATGTACAGTGTACCTGACGAATGTTCTGTAAAAGTATTGTAAAACCTCTCCTGATCTTTCTGCCTGTGGATTCAGATCAACATGGTCAAGAGATATGGCGCGTATCTCATTTCAACACTTCCCCGGTATAAGCTTTATCCCATGGTGCAAGGAACAGTAAGTTGAGTCATGTAATGCATATTTGAGGTAGTTGCCTTTGGTGCATTGAGAAAGGCAGGGAAAGCTCTAGCGAACGGTGCAGTAGCTGTATGCAGAAGATGAGATAAGCTAAGCATACTGGTCTTAGCATCCTCTCGAGTATAGTGAGACATTGCGGTGTACAAACTGGGTTTGAAGACCGGACAGTCAGTCACACCTGTGAATTCTTGTCTCCCGTATGACATACTAATGTTCGTTGTCATTCGTTCCTCTCTTGCTGTGTGCTGCACTCGACCTTTCAGAGTGCCAAGCTGGATGAATGGCCAGCCTCCAGGGCAGTCTACTGTTTGAGGAGTGTGGGAACAAGCACAGGCAGGAAGAAGAACTTTGACGATAAACTGATCTCCACGGTGATGATGTGCAAGTTCTTTGACAAGTAAGTCTAGTAAAATTAATGATGTTTTGGTGCATTCCAACTGGCACCAGCCATGCACCACCCATGGCCCAGAACGGTTCCTCTCGTTACCACACTGAAAACATGGAAAGGTAGCTCTGTACTTGTAAACAAGAGTTGCATTCCGTTAATAGAGGTTATGCGAACGATGTCGTGTTGGTGGGTCAGCACCTCAGCGGAACCGCTTAGGGGCGCTATGTGTACTGTGTGAGTCAGAAGAACCGCTTATGGGAAAAATACTGCATGAATCGGTGGTTTCCATGGTTCGCTCAAGATTGTGCATCGTGCTGTGCCACAACTTTTGTCAGGGCATCTCAACTGATGATGTCACCACATAGTCTCCAAAGAAGGCATGTGAAATGCTACCCATTGTCGGGAGCTCCCTCCCCCCCCCCCCCACCTCTCGGTGCAGTCATTGTAGATGTATGAACTGTATACATCCAGTACGTATAGTCTTCAAGTGTACGTCTTCATTCAGTGTGAACTTGCTGTGTATGGATCCGTGTTTTGCCGTGCAAGACTCTTTCTCCATGTAGAAGCGCATTTTGGATAGGTAGTACCTGCAGTTGACATTGAGTCAGCTTTTCCTGAACTGAACAAGGAAAGTTTGTAAGACCAGGGCGAGCCAGGGCAGCCCCGAACTTAGGAAGCGTTACAGCGTCTCTTCTTGCAGTGCTATAGTAGAATAACACCGCAGCTAGTTACGGTGTAGCACATGTATATCAAGAAAGGTGGTTGATCACTGTCTTCCCATGTACCAGCGTTGAACATCTCGAAGTGCATTTGCGTGCTCCAATAGTGTTTATCTGTTGTGCGTTATGCCTTGCAGCTGGCTGCATGAGTTTGTCAATGCGCCGCATTATGGAATCCAAGACTTGACAGGTGCCCTAAGCAAATTATCTCCACTGCTGCACAAGAAGAAGCCATCTGCACCCGAGGTGGGTTTGACTTTTGGAAAGGCGCATTACATGTCTTGTGTACGCATAGCCTTTCGTCTTCATACTAGTCAAGCAACAAATTATATTCATCTGCAACAGAGAAACATCATTGATTAGCATTCATCTCCAAGGCACCCATTAGCCACACTACCAGGTACTATAGTTAGCACTGATAAGCTCTTTTGGAGAATAACAGCTGTCTGGATGGTGACGGCATCAATGTCTCAACGTATTTGTCCTCCCTATGGTGGTGATATGCAAGTGGAATTGGTCGGCCAATACCTCAAAATGAAGTACATGTAGTAGAATGCCTGAGGTTTGGTGATAATCTCAGTTCTTGTGTTCCAGTTCAGCACACATAACAGTTTGAGGAGCACATCCATCCAAGGCGCTCTTAAAGTTGATGTGCTATGCCTACAGGTGTTTCTGCTGTCGGTTAGTTGAGAGATTGTAGAAAGTGAGCAGCGCGTACAATTTTTGTTTTTTCTGCCATATATGGGAAATGGTTACTGGATATCCTGTTGAGTTGAAATACAAGTACGAATTTGACTTTGTCCACCATTAGCATTCGGGTTGCTCCTTTTTTGTTCAGGGTCACGCGAGGAAGGTCCTCACTTGTCTCTACCATATTGCAAAGAACGACGTGAGTACCCAAAATATCTGTTTTAAGGCAGTCCATTAACTCACACACACACACACACACACACACACACACACACACACACACACACACACGCACGCACGCACGCACGCACGCACGCACGCACCCACACACACACACACACACACACACACACACACACACACACACACACACACACACACACACATACACACGTTGCATAATTATTATGCTGCGACCTATGGCCTACCATACTTGAAGGCAATTACGAACTAAGAGCATATCTATTATGTCGTGCTACTCGAATAAGAAAGGAATCAGAAATAGAATAGCGCTAGCACAATGCTGAGACTGCTGAGTATATGGCTGTTCTGCCACAATTCTATGTCCCCTAACATGGCTTTGTATTGTATTCTGCATTGCAAATAGCAGTGGACCTTCATCATCCAAACAGGTTTGTGGGTTTCTACAGCAGTTCATATTAAGAACATGTCTTTAAGAACATGGATGCAGCAATCGGGATTTACGATAGGTGATGGGTCTGATCTTCTCACCTCCCGCCGCATCGGGAGCTCCTTCAGCACCTTGATCCTTGCGGTTGGCTGCGTTGCTATGGGTGAGTAAAATCCAATCTGGCTGAGTCTAACGTGAACCGTGGATATTTTTTTAAAGAAAAAGTCAGTATGTGTACACATAAGGCTTATTGATGTTTATGTGCATTGGGTTCTTCATTCTGCAGTATGGAGGAAAGAAGATAATTGAACTCAGTCCTGATACGGTGAAGAAAGCCATCACCTATCTCAATGACCCTGACACCCAAAATGGCACTAAGATCCCTGTCATTGTGCTCCAGGTGAGCATGCACTGGCTCATTGTTTAGCAATGCCTCACACATCCTTCATCTTCCCCTCTACACACCCCCATTTGTCTTGTTGTATTTATGAAAAAACCTCCATGAAAAGCATCCATTTGCTTTTGGAGAATCCTTTAAATAAATACACCATAACTTGGGGTAGGAGACCATTCTGTAGAGAGTACAGTCTAAATTCCTTGTGCTAACTGCCTTGAGCTGGTCCACTGAGCAAAAACACGTGACCCAACTCACACTCTTTATTGTCAATTTGTTGTTTGTGTAGTCGCTGGTGCAGCTGCTACGTTTCCCAAACAGCTATGCTGTGGTGTCCGATGCATTGAAGTACTATCAAAATCTGGTTGGCGAGAGGTACCGCTTCGAAACCATCGTAACAAAGCTACTGAACAGCCCTGATCTTGCATTTAAGGTAAGGTACTTGACAGAGCAGAGGTAGAATGTAGTAGTTGCAGCTTATGCCTGACAAGATGTTTTGAATGTTGTTGACATGAAGTGAGATAATTATTATAATATCCAATGCAATGCAATCATCAGAAGTACAGAACTGAGTAAATTGTTCCGTTGTACATGTAGATCGTACCACTTTCTGACAGCTTTTTATTCCACAGCATAAACGACGTCAGGGGGGGGGGGGGGGAGGCTCAGGTTTGATCCCGTTTCCGTGTTTTGCTTCACTAACACCTGCTGTGTATGCGTGTGTGCATGTTGATTCAATCATTTTATTATCTATGTAGGAGAATGCATTGATCTTCATCAACCGATTTCTCGACGGATGCGACATGCCAAATGAACGTGTTATGCTGCAAAGCGAGCTACACGAGGTCGGCTTCAACATCAGGGCAATAGAAGCGGTGAGGGCTGGTACAGAGTGCAACACCAAATCTCTAGTGGACCGTTCCTGATGCTGGGCAGATGGTGTGTGTGTGTGTGTGTGTGTGTGTGTATGTGTGTGTGTGTGTATGTGTGTACGTGTGTGTGTGTGTGTGTGTGTGTGTGTGTGTGTGTGTGTGTGTGTGTGTGTGTGTGTGTGTGTGTGTGAATGGATTTATGCCTGCTCGTTTGTTTAAGGCATTCATTACCGGCAGTGGTAGTGGGGGCTGAGAACTCAAAAAATCATGAACGGTAACGTTATTCGCCGGTCTTATTTGGGCTCGTCAGATGTCAGTGTAGCACATAGAGATGTGCCCGAAGCTGGTCGCAGTGAAAAGTGCATTTTCTCAAAGCTATTATCATCAGCACAGCATGGAGAACTTTGGCTAAATATGTAACCTTAAAATTCTAACTAATACTTGTGCTTCCTTTGTCTTTTCGTATGTGAACTTACAGTCTGTTTCAAAAAGATTAGCAATCAAGTTTGGGTCTTAAAAAGTATGAAGATAAGGGGAAATTGGACAACAAAGTACATAAAACGGCTTGTTAGGGCACGGCAAATTGTTCTGTGAAGGTTTCGGAACAATTGGACCAACCGTTAAGGAGTTAGCATTTCGGCCAGGTTTCTGGCCTTTTCCCATGGTTTATAATTTGCCCTGGAAGCCAGTATCGATTTGTTATCAAAACCCACGATTTATCCCTTTTTTGGCCTAGTGGTTATGAATGCTGTCTGCTGACCATGAAGTTGTGAGTTCAAATCCCAACAAATCTTCAAGTCAAACATTTTTTCTTCATTTTTCATTGTTTTGGTGATCACGCTGGTACAAGCCAAAAAGGTGGCTGCGCCAAACGACTTGTTGTTGGAGCTCGCGTTTCCTGCCGAACTGACTGACACTTGACTGGCCAACGCCATGTGAAGTTGTGAACACACACAACACTGAAACCGTGTGAGTGAACACAGAAGTCATTGCGCTGTAGCTACGTGTTGTTGAATACACCGGCATATCGATCGATCGATTTCTGTTTGAGATCTATTTTAGCATTTGAAGATCGCCAATTTATTTGAATTTAGGAGTCAACGCCGTCTTCTATCAGTTTCACAGGCGTCTACTTTCTATAAATGTCGTCGAAGTCACACGGATAGCTTTGCCACTTCAAGGCCTTGGGAATGAGTCTGTGTCGATGCCGTTTTCGTCACATCGTGAGAGTACAATAATTGCATCCGCGGCAGCTCAAAGAATCTATTTGGTCACAAAACGGACGCATCCCACTCGTCAAAATTTACCACACTTTCGACATGTCCTCTCTGACTCCATATCGATGCGAGGAAGAACTCGTTTGTTGTAAACCAGACGAGAACCGACGTCAGATGGTCAGTGAGTTGTCATTTTTCATGCTTTCGCGCGGAATATTTCTTCGAGTTCACAGTGAGTTTTTCCAGGCAGCGCTCGAGCGCTCATACGGTAAGACGGCAAACTCCCCGGGCGATCGCCAGGATTGCTAATCTTTTTGAAACTGACTATAGGCAAGTTATGAAAGCTGCCCCCCCCCCCCCCCATCATTTACCTTGACAGTATGCACACGCTTAAACTTAGTCTCTGTGTGAGTTCCTTGCACCGCAGTTTTTTTTACAAGATTGGCTGAAAGCTTTTGTATTCTGTGGCAGAACTCAAAGATCCGCTTACTGGAAGAATTGCTTCTCCCTAACCCCTACTGGACCATTTCATACGAACACTTGTTAACAGTCCATTGGTGACGTGAAGTATGGGAAGATCGAAGAAGAACTCAAGAGGTACATCAACAACTTCCTGGATTTGGAAGACTTCATGGCAAAGTACAACGTGGCTATTCAGCACGCAAGTTTGCTGAGACATGATGTAAGTCTGGGTTTGAATGTGCAGAGTAGGTGGGCCAAGTAGAACTCTACGGTTTAGCATAAGCATCACATGGGCGGTCTTGCCTTGCACAGACTCCACTTTTCACTGTATGGCGCACTTCTTTGCCCGAAGGACCCATATATTTACGAAATTCTATCAAAATCTTCCATGGGTCATGGTTCTAGAATGTACATTGGTTTCCCTCACTACCGCAAGGCGCATCAGTGCATTCATTGCGATGGAACCTTGGGAATGAATTGCTGTGAACCTTTGATATTGCATGTCTTGCTTTTTGCTTGGGTGCATGGTCTATTTGGCACAGGCTTTTTTTGAGAATGCGAATGTGTACAGTTACGGGTCCCCATCTCCCGTACATTTCCTCGTACATCCTGTGCCCTGCTGGCCTGCACCCCATAGCTTCCCAAGTTCCCGTAAGACACCTGTGTTCGATTGGCCTAAGTAGCTGCTTCAGGGCCCATATCTGCCGTAGCTACCATGGGCCTCTTATCTGGCTCTCTCTCTCTCTTTGTTTCTCTCTCTGTCTCTCTTTCTCTCTCTCTCTCTCTTTTATTATTATTATTATTTTCCTTGTTTGCGTTGACATCACCAAGCAAGCTTGGCTACTCTTCGCATAAGCCAAATGAACTAAAGAAATGAGGAACGAGCGAGGCCAATGAGGTGGACACACGCGTGCAACGGCAGAATAGGCAAAAGGAATAAATAAGACCGTCCTAAAAACACACGAAAAGTCAACTTCAACAATAAAACTGGAAACGGATGAATACAGCTATCATAACAGTTGACAGCACAGAGTGGCAAAGCGACATAACACGAGAGCATACATGAGAGTACAATTCTACTTATAGACTACAACCGAGAACCAAGTAGTCGAAAGCTACACAACATGGGTACCGGTAAACCATTTCCGCATGTACAGAGCTCTCTCTCTCTCTCTCTCTCTCTCTCTCTCTCTCTCTCTCTCTCTCTCTCTCTCTCTCTCTCTCTCTCTCTCTCTCTCTCTCTCTCTCTCTCTTGCCATGTAATATTTTGTCTCTCCTTCTCTCTAGTGTATGAATAGGCTGCTGACATTGTCCCATTGGAAGGCGTACATTTGAGAGATTTATCTTTATTGGTATTGTTTTATAATTGCCCAAACATTGATCTTTGTATCTTTCTTCGTGTTGCATATCACAAAATTCAATGTTGTCACCACAGATGGAACTTCTCCGTGCTGATATGGAGGTGAGGAAATCAAATGCAGTTACTTTTTAAGTCACTTCATTGAACCTGATGGGTATCCTTGATCTCGTGATAGATTAAGCGGAAAACCTTAAACATAATCATCATATTGAGGGGACTCTTTGCTGCAATTTTCTTTTATCTCAATCAAATGTTCGGCCAGGAGCCATCATCCTCGTTCCTGGCAAGTTTGCAGCAAAGAGACCACTTATCACTGGCAGTCGCTTTGATGACGATGTTGGATTTTCCGTGCAATGAAGTGGGTGCAGTGGACCCTTTTAAAACCTTAGCGCGCCTTAAAGTTGGCTCAACATCTTAGATTCAAATTGCACCTTAAAGTAATGAGGATTTACCACCTTTTTTTAATAATGAAAGGAAATATGAAGTCTGAAGAAATGTTGAACAGTCGCTTCTTGGATGACAGCTACACCACAGCTCAGTGCTTAGAGCATCGCTGGCCTCAAGCGAAGATCCCTTGTTTGCTTGTCCCTTGGTGGTGACAGTCATGTTTTTCTTCATTCTTTTCCGTTTTCAGTCCCCCAGACTAATGATTATCAAGGGAATACCTGTGTCGTTTTATAAGAATTCGATACAAGTTAAGAGTAACTGTCCACCACTGTAACTAGATGCAATATACAGTCAGAAAGTGCAACAACTAGGCACACAAATGATGACCGAGACATTTGAAGACCTGGCGAAAGGATAGTTCTCAGACTATGATCTCATGTAATGCTGCATTTGTTAATGTGTTGTTTTACCTCCAACTCCAGGGTATGAAACAGAACGAAAGGGCTAGACAAAGCCAGAACATCAAGGTAGTGTATAGATATAATTATGAGTGTGTGCATCTGTGCAAGCCCAGTTTGATACTTTCTCACCTATACTTTATAGATTCCTAAAAATACAGATCTCGTGGGAATTTCACGACTTGTACCCCATGTGGGAACGTACTGATGTGAAATTGTTGATGGTGTTTCTCTGGCATGTGTCATGCAGCTGGCCGAAGAAGTGGAAAGGTTCTATCAGAAACTGAAAGGTGCACGAGAGCTTTTACTGGTTCTAAAGGTAAGAATACTGGAACGAAGTCTCCCTGTGTGTGCTGCAGCTGCATAGGCTCACTGCATAGTCTTGAGGATGTACAGGTACGTGGAGAAGGGATGGTGGCTGACCACAGCCGACCCTGCACTGTGGTTTTGCTGCTGACCCTGCACCGTGATGTTGCTGTTGCAAATGTGAGGTGTGAGAGAGAAGTGAGGTTTCGCTGTTAAAAAAAATTGTGAAAGCCACCATCCGTTCTGTTAGGCATTACAGAGTTGGCCTAAAAAAAGGATCAGTTTGGAGTCTGCTCGAAGTTCACCTGAAGTTCAGAGACACTCTAGTTGTTATCGTTCCATCGCCGCCAGTACCAAGAACTGTTGAGCCTGATATGTGCATAACTTAGTTTTCATTCGCAGAAAGGTGTTATCAGCAACAAGCGACCTGCTTTTGCCCGCTAAAGACAAGAAGCATCTGTGTGGCAAAACCTTGGGATCATAATGGTCAGCTTACGTGTACAAAGCTCTCCCCCACTGGGTCACGCCAAGTTTGATGCTTTTTTTGTCTTATGTTTGCACTAGTATTTCCTGCTGTAGGCTAGTTGTTTGGGAAAGGACAGTGATATTTTTGTTTGACATTGCCTTCACTCTGAAGTCTATTTAGGTACGAAATGTAACTCAACTTCCAGTGCTTTTCCAATCCCTCAACATATGAATGTTCAACTTGCAGTGAGTCATGCATTATGTCATAATGACGCAAATAATGTTCTGCATTTCCGTGTGCTTGCATGATATTTTTCTGCCTTTTTCTTCAATCAAGTGAAGGTGTACTTTGAATGTGTGTGATGCTGTTGAGCATGTGAAGCATGACGTATGATCTTGCTTAGAGAGTGCACACAATACCAGTTGCCCTGTGTGTTATCAAATCCAGCGAACAACCGATGTCTCAACATTCCCGGCCGAGTGGCAAGAGGTCATCGCCGACGTCACAGCTCCTCTCAAGCCGCCAGATGATGAGATATATGTCACTTTCAAACGCGGATTATTTCTACCTGCACCAAGGAAATATAAGGGTACAGTATACTAGTACTTGGTTTTTTGGGTTTTTTATTGATCTACATGCAGCGATGTTTGATCCTGTATTCACCCACACCAGTTGAGGGAAGTTTGCTGAAAGTTTCTAACCGAAATTATTGTGATGTGAAACAGATACTGTGGCTATGCCCATGATCACTGCATTGCCTGCTCTCGCTATGGTTGTCTGAACACGAACTGAAAATTGAAACCATACAACTGGCCTGAAGAAGAATTCCAATGATTCCATGTTTACAATATTTCACACTAACTCCGCCTGTTCATAGCATGCTGTGCCATGGTGTGCGCAGAAGTGGAAATGTGTATGGCTGCACTCATTGAATGAGTTCCGCCGTGATCATGCTGGTTTGCGGTGTTTTTGCAGTTTCTGTAACGGTCATCCCATTGGATGACAGTGACGCCGCACCCACCACTCCATCCAGTGCTATAATTCCAACACCAGATACGCCACAGACATCAGAGCAGGTGTCAGCAGCAGCACCACCACCGCCGCCACCACCACCGCCACCACCACCGCCACCACCACCACCACCACCACCACCACCACCAATAGTTCCACAATCTCCTCAATCTCTAGGTTGCAGCCGTAACTCAGGTAAACCACACTGGAGAACTACTCCCCCCCCCCCCACACACACACGTCCACTGACCTACCATGTTACCTAGCTACCATATCCCACTCTCGTCCGAATGTAGCTACCCCTCTCCCCTCCTCACGTAGCTACCCCTCTCCCCTCCTCCCATAGCTACCCCTCTCCCCTCCTCCCGTAGCTACCCCTCTCCCTCCCACTTCCTCACCTAGCCCATCTTCTTCCCACTGGTCTCAAATGTGCCATGACGCCACATTTTACTGATCATCTCCTCTCCCCCCCCCCCCACCCAAAAAAAAGAACCCGAACAGAATGGCTATAGTATAGCATTTGGAGTCACGCTGCTTCAGCTAATATAGGACCAGTTGGAGACATTGTATTTGTACTGTTTGTAACTGCCATCTCTTGTATGCCTGTCTTGTTATGCAGGAGGAACCTTGCCCAGACCGCTTGTGAAACCTGTCCCAGATGCTAAGCAGACCTTGTTCGAGAAAGATGAGTCTACAGATGATCAGGTACGCACTTTTTTCATTAATCTCTTCTCTTGAGAGACTAGTGTGAAAACTTCCTTTTGAGAAGTTCTTCCCTGAATCCAGCTGTCATCGTCTCTCACTTTCTATTCTGTTCTTTCTTCTGTTTAATCTCATCCATCTGGTATCCCGGTAGTGCTGTGCTCTCAGCTTCTCAAGGAAAAATTATGTACTTGCCACTTGGCACAGGAGAATGAAATTGAAGACTCCTTTGGCAGTCTGCTTATTCCGATACATGTCTGTTACCCAATTTCTTTCATCAGGATTTGAAGGGCTACAGCTTTTGAGAGAAAACAACCAATGTTGGCGTGATAGATAAGATACTTTTGCCCTTACACAAGGATGTCACAAGCACTAAGCGGCTCAGCTCACCATATCTGACAGACAGTCTTAGCCAGTCTAAGGTGGCTCGAACTACTTTGGCCATGAAGAAAACTTCTACAGAAAATGCGCTGCTTGCTCTGTTCTAAGAATGTTTTCTAGCATGCATATACATCAGAAATGATATTGGTATGGAGGATGCTTATCATGCTCTTCTGTTGTACTGCTAGCACTTGAAAGTACAAAAATGCACTTTTCCAAGCGTCGAGGTCCAATGAGTCCCACAAAATGCGAAAGCACCTCCCCCCCCCCCATACATACCCCATACGAGTATCATTTCTGGGGTCATTGCTTGCTAGAGAACGATTTCAAGCGGAAACAGAAACAGCACTTCTTGAATAAAAAATATTTTCATATCCGACGAGGTTTGAGCTTCCATGGCTGTGAATTGTAATGAATTTTGCGAGTGCGCAAAAATACGTTGACACAGAGGGCGCATGCGCCGCACTGGACACTTCACAGTTTCCTTCGTGCTCAGAGTTGCATGGTCTACTGGTGACTCTCTTCAAAGCCCACCTTCCCATGCCCTCTGCTCTTTTTTCTGCTGTGCTGCACCATGCTGAGGCACATCTCTATTTTCTTCTTGGTATCATAAGAACGAACATTCAATATCACATCTCTTCAGCTTAAATAACTGAATAAAGAGGGGAGTCAATCTCGCTCACAAGGCTCATCCAGCCCACTCACTCACCCTGCTGCCAGTAAAAATAGTACTCACTGCCAGCCTGGCAAACAATGATTGACAAACCACTCCTATCCCCACAACTCAATGCTCCCCATGTTATGGAGATGTGTGCATGCAGATGGGTGTGTTAACCCTCTGTTTAGCAGTTCTATTGTTTGCGTTTAACGTTTGTGTTTGAATTTTCTCTATGCCTTCACTAATAGCTGGATGCGCCGCAGGAACTCCCCAGAGCAGATTTTGAGGGCTTTGAGAAGAAATTCGTTCGGAAACGAACATTTGGGAAACGTAGTAAGTCAGGAATTTTTCAACATTAATAAGAATGGCCTTGGACTTGCCTGGTATCTTGAATAAGAGCATGCACATATGCACGAGCTCCACGTTGTGAGCAGTCAACTTCTTTGATTAGTCGTGCCTAAGTCGCTACTTTCTAAGTGCGTAGCATCAAGAGAAATGCCAGTACATGTCCATGTGTACCGTGCCGTGTCTCCAAGGACCGTAGAATCTGTACTGAATTATGTTATTTGAGCGGCCGGTTGCAACGGAGAATCTCAGCAAAGTGATTTTTAACACATTCTCTTGCAATCGTGTATGCCCATCATGAATGTGCGTGCTCACAGTTTCAGCTTCTTATTACCTTTCAAGGTGATCAAGCCAGATATTGATTTGTGTGATTGTTTATTCTACATTTTGCATTGTTCAGACACAGAGAGAAGGAAAAGTATAAAAAGAGTGTTCCCGTCTTCCACAGCCCGAAATATTGGTGAGACACAATATTTGTTTAAAGTTGCTCATCTTTAATTATCTTTTCAACTTCAAACGTAGCTGCAACTGTTCCCATGAAGACAGCATCTGCTCAGAATGTTATGGGATGCGCGGTGAGAATTTGAGAAGTGCTGAGTATTATCGTTTGGATGCAGTGTTGATGTCTTATGAGATGAGGAGAAAACCTGATTGGTCTCTGGTAGAGGATGACAGGTTGTGCACCAAGACGAGGTGAGGTGACTGGAGGCTAGGTATTATTGGTCTGACTAAAGCAATAGCTCTACTGACTTGAGTGGCCTTGAATCGTTTTCATTTGACCTATCAACTTATCCTTTGCATTGTGAGGCACTCACTGCAATAGTAGGTGGGATACAGCAATGGGTTGTGTTGGATTCTATAGTGATCTATGTTGGATACTACATCAGGTTATGTAGGATATTGCAGTGAGTTATGTAGGATACTGTACTGAGTTATGTAGGATACTGCGACGGATTGTGTATGTGTCACTGTTGAAGCTACAATGAATCATCAGTATGATGTTTCCCCAAGGTTTGCAAAAATTTAAAACCTGTATTTATGCTTTTTAAAGTCGAGGCCCTCTATAGCCAGGGTACTTCATACCCAGAGTCAAAAGATTAGTATCCCATTATGCAGGATCATAAAAAGTAGTACTAATGCCTTAGGCCATAGTGGATGTGTTTCATCCAAGGATCCGTCTGTATGGATGTTTCCGTGTATGTACTTTGCGTTGGCCTTTCTGGTGGCTGCTGCACTACAGAGATTGCAATGCGTGGCATTGGATGCCCTCTGCCCGAGGTGCACCTGGCCATTTCCAACATGGACATCTCCAAATTTCCACCCCTGGTCTGTCAGAACTTGCTCAAGTATTGGCCCGAGAAAGAAGAAGAGGTACGAGACCAACTGTATTTGACGGACCTTTTCAAAAAGGAAAACGATCCCGTTGCAATGCGGTCAGGGTGCGGGGCTTAACATATAATGTCCTTTATAGGTTTTTAATGAAGACTTGTGGAAAATGTGTGTAACCCTTTACTTGCCCCTCCTTCAAATCTGCAGAGGCGAATTGCACCTCTGTACATCATGATGACGTCATAAACTTTCCCAGAATAGGCCATCTCTGTGATGTCACGGAGATAGACTTTGTATGGGAGTAGATGGGGAAATAGCAGTATTTGGGCCCTCCATTGTCCCAAAGAAGTCGGGTGTTTTTCAAACTTCGGTATGGGACATATGGCACCCTACCGGTATCCCGAATGAAGAATTTTCTGGCAAGAAGAAGTCTGCTGTAGAGAAAGGAGGAAGGAGAACTTCAAGCCGTTTTTACTCGGGAACGGCAGCTCCATCGACCTGAGACCTTCGCCATTGGGATGAGTGCAGTTTTGCTACAAGTTGTGAAAAAGTTTTCATTTTAGCGTGAACTTCCCCTTTAACCTACCAGACAGCTCAAGAACAAACTTTTCCTTCTATTAGCTGTGAAAACTTCCTCCTGATTCTAGGAACATGATGCACTCTATGAGGAACCTTTCCTCGTTAGATAAGATGAGGAACCTTTCCTCGTTAGATAAGATGAGGAACCTTTCCTCGTTAGATAAGATGAGGAACCTTTCCTCGTTAGATAAGATGAGGAACCTTTCCTCGTTAGATAAGATGAGGAACCTTTCCTCGTTAGATAAGATGAGCATCTTTCTTTGTCCAGTCAGCTACATGTGTTTCTTTCTTGCAATCCTGTACACTCAGATTAACCAGCTGCTTATGCCGTTATCCGGTGATACTGTGGCTCTTGGTGAAGCAGAGAAGATCATGAAGCACGTATGGACTATGTACATTACTTGTGTCTTCCAGTGCGTAATTCTTGTTCCATCATGCCCTCTCACATTGTACTGAGGCTTCCTGAAGAGGAATTGAGAACAGATCCTGCCGATGATGTTTTGATGACTAATTCAGTGCCTGGATTCCGCAGGGAATGACCTGCTATCCTGTCACGACGTCTTCCTGGACGTCCTTTCCTCACACTCCGGTGGCATACACGGAGGGCATACTGGTGTGGTGTGTCGGCTCAGCTGCAACCATGATGCAAAGCACTTCCATGGCGCTTTCTGCCTATGGTACTCTGCAATATTTCCATTCAACCGTAACTACTGTACAGCTGTATCTGCACCTAGATCTTTGAAGGTAGTGGTGTTCCTACACATGTGGATAACTCAGTCTAACCGAGTATACAGGGAACCGGGAAATTCTCACCCACTTACACTGACCATGATATGAAGAGGTCTAGCATATATACAGTGCTGCACTTCAAGGCGTCACAGTGTGACTTCTTCTCTCTGTGTGTATGCACAGCTGGCTGTCATCGAGAGAGTCAAAACAAAGCTGAAAGTAATGGAGTACATGGGGTACTTTGATGACAACACCAAGAGCGTCACAGAGGTAGGGATAATTTATATTTTTGATATATTTATGGGGATTGAGGTGAAACATAATAATTAGTTTGCTTTAAACAAAAGATAATTCGTTTCCTGCATTGCCAGCTAGGGATTGCTGTCGGTAATAATTATTAGCTATATCTTCATGAAAGAGGTTCTCCCCCTTGTAGGGCATTGGCCGTGAGACTTACCACCTCACCTTCGCCGGTAGGTGCTGCATCTACCACTCTGATATAATTACGCAAGGTTCTGGCCTGACACGAGCGAAACATCTCTAAGCTGGTTGTGTCTCTCAACACAATTGTAAGCCGGTGGTAAAGGCGGATGTGCGAACTTTACTTCTTCGTTTTTCATGAAAGGAGCTGGTGGTAGGAGCTAAATTAAGGAATCACGGTTCATTTGTGAATGACTTTTGAATGGTTTGTTGCATTAGATCAGTGAGCGGCAGTGTATGTTGCAGATACTATCAGCTTCACACTTCATGCCTGACATTGGTGCACGTAGTACGCATAGCCGAGGCAGCGACTGAATTGATTCAGTCTCTTTTCTAAAACAGTAGGGATTTAGCTGTGTGTGTTTTCAACTGCCCGTGCTTATTATCTTCCAGCCCTGCAAAACCCTGGTGGAAACATGTTCTGCTGTGTTGCGTAATACCAATCTAGCCACTGTCTTTCAGGTGAGGATTGCCCAATGATGACTGTTTCCACCTACGCTATTCTGCAGATTGAGCTGATGATAATGCTGATTCTGTGGCACATTTTGGCAAGAATTATCAGATGTCTTGCTTGGCAAGGAGTGGTGCAGCAGACTGAATCATACCAGGGCGGGGGGGGGGGGGGGGCGGCGGGGGTGCTGAGTGAGTGCACAGTCAACATTCCAGTGTCTGTGTACGTGTTTTTCTTTGCCCTCTTTTTGTGTGACTACTCAATTCTGCTATTCTGTGCTTACCGCATGCCAAACAAATCGTCCATGTTCAGTGATTGTGTCCCACCAGCTAGCATGTGTAGCTTCACAGGAAGTGAGCGATCGGAAGTCCGAAGAAACTGTTGAACAATCTCAGATGGGATGATACTAAACCATAGCTTGGTAGCATAGCCTGCCTCTAGTTAAGGTACTGAAGTACTACCTGGTTTGAGTGCTGGTGGCAAAATTTTATTTTTCTTTAGACTTTCGTCCTTTAATTCCATTCAACTGTTGAATATTCCATGTCTCTCTGTTCAGATTATCTTGGAGTATATCAACCATATGCGTGCTGCTAACAGAGAACCTCAAATCAAAGGCTTTCGCCTGGAGTCTCTGCAGGAGGTCAGTGTATCCTATGATCAGAGCTGGTCTGTAACTTCTGTCGTGATCCTCTATTATGTGTGTTAGAAACAAAATGGGTACCATAAAAAAATTTCTACGTTGGTAAAGAAGCTGTGGCTACATCATGATTTGGGCTGTTGTATAATTTTATCATGAAATTTCTAGCTCTGGCATCAAAATGTTGTATGGTACAGCCCTGGGTATGTCCAAACATTCTTTGGACGTGTAACAATGTTGCATGTATTTCCAAAAGGTGGTATTGCAGCATCATCTCCAGCGTACTTGGCAGCCATTTTACATGAATATGGAGGGTTATTGTACTCCTGGCTTTATCGGGGCGATTATCACTGGACGCTAAATCATACACAACCATTTGAAATGGCCTTTGGCCTCTCATCTACAATTGCTTGAAGAAGACGAAAGTTTGATCTTCCCAATCAACGCTCAACCTGCAACGCACGATCTGTCCTTAGCCACACCATGCAAACTGATTGTATCTGAATTTTCACCCGGGAGGGCACTTGCGTTGTGTGGCCAGGGACTGTTCGTACTGTCAAATGCAGACCTCACAAGTAAGTCATTGAACCATACATTGCCATGGTGTCACAACTCTGAGCTGACATGGAGAAGTTTGATATGGGCCATGACTGATCTGCAGTTGTGCCCATTGTACTAGACCAAAGCAGTAAACACAATACTAACCTCAACTTTGGCATGACAAGCCAAACAGGAAACACGATCAGGGAGAGCAATGCTGTCAAGTTGTTTACAGTCCAAGGTCAGCTGAAGACTTCTGTTGTGGAGCCAGTCTCAATTGGAAGAGTACCTACATACACATGTTAATTGGAGTCTGTTGTTGACTTGTGGCAAGAAAACACCCACCGAGGTAAAACTACTCAGCCTCACACCTTGTGATAGCCTCTACACCGGCTGGTGTCGAGTGTCGAGTACTGTTCACTTTTGATTCACCGCTTAACACCAAGACTTGGAGTGCTCATTGTCCATGTATATCCTGCAGTTGTAAATTGAGAATTTGTTATAAAGCTCGTATCTGCTATACTTTACCATCTCCATGTACTGCTGTTAGCCAAGCATGTGGCATGATGCATGTGATGAACCACTCCAATCTAAAGACCGTTATGTCTTTCTCACACGTTAAGATGCTCACTACTTCTCATAAACAATATTCAGGTGTGTGTCTGTGTCCACTAGAGTTGGCTTACTCCTCGGTGCTACTTTTCAATGCACTGATCACCTGTGAGGGCGGTAACTTGAACTGCTGGACATCATAGCCTCCTGTCTGGTGTAGGTTTGACCACAGGCTATTTGTGTGCCTGGCAACTTGAAGTCAAAGAAGTACGACAGAAAACTAGTTTACTCTTCCACGAAAGAAAGTGGAACCCTGTTCAAAAGTGACTTATGTCAGGACACTTTCCCATTAGCATTCCTAAGTGAGTGGCAACTTTGGATGCTGACAGAGAGCTAATCACTTACTATGATGCATTAGTCCTGTTCTACGGGGATGGTTGTTTTGGTGTGACTGCCTGGTGAGTTAATGCACTTATTGTAGGTTCAGTGATGCAATCATGCCTAGTTGATTCACTCTTTGCACACCGGTGCACCGTCTCTACCCCCCCCCCCCATCGTGTACAGCCATTTAAATATTATTTCTATCATGAATACGGTGGTATGAGCGACGACTGACAGCAGGAAGACCAGACACACATATCCTGGTGTTAAGCATCAGCGATCCTGTATATTTTAAAACCACAATCGATAAGACTAGCTGAATCAACATGTGTATACCGGGTTTATTCGTGCAGTGTGAAACGATGGAAACAATGTGCAAGAAAATCTACATTTGTTGGCGTTGCCTCCTCGCCGTTTGTTTAAATGATCCTGTATATGTGTTTAAAATAGAAGAAATCACATGGAAACGAGTTCTGAAGCAACTATCCACCACTATAACAAGATAGTAAGCAGTCGTAAAGTGCAATAACAGGGCACACAACTGACATGTTACTGTGCCATTCAACGAACTGAGACCTAGCTCCCACACACAGAGACCTAGCTCCCACACACCTCCAGTGCGCAAACCAACAACCTTCCAGCTTGAAAAGTTCAAGGTTATGGTAAGACCAATGAGGGACAGGTGAGCGCAGCGAAAATGTGCATAAGCTAAGTCCCACGTTTCCATGTGATTTCTTCTATTTTAATTATATTTATTGGCTCAGTATCCGAGTTATTAAATGTATGTGTTTTATTATTGTTTTGCAGGTTGTCAGCATCAAGTCAGCGGACAAAAGTAGCACACTGATTGACTTTGTTGCCAGCAAAGTCCAGCGAACCATGCCACAGGCAGCCACATTCTTTGACGACATGCACCTCCATAGGGCTTCAAAAGGTTTGTTGCAGCACTAAGATGTCTGAGTATACTGCGGTGCTAAGTCTGATACAGTGAACATTGTGAGTTTAAGCTGAACAACACTCCATTATAGTGTAGGTGATATCCTAGTTTTGAAGAATGTCCTATACCGGTGCGGCTAATGGAGCCACATAGCTGTGCCAAATGGTTGCACATGGCAGTACCAGACTGAGAGGGCATGAGTACGAGTGACTACATCTCTGTGATGTTTGCCGATTCTGTTGTTGACTGTGGTGCAGTATGCATGGACAACGTGATAGCTGACAAGCGGCTGCTGGTGAAAGGCGTGGACCTGTGCCGCTATGAGCTGGAACACGATCCAGACAACCAAACACTGGCTATATCCAACTCCATTGTGGCACAGCATGCACTGTACCTGAATTCCCGGGGGGGGGGGGGGGATAGTTACATTACAAACTCATGGGTGACAGACAGGCTAACAGCAAAGAATCTTGGTGTGGAGTTGGGTAAACAAATAAGCCGTTCCCGCCATTGAGCTAAATGTATTTTCTTAGAGTAATACTTGCTTGCATTTCTGCAGATCCAGGGGCATGGACTCGCAGAGCTGATTTTAGCCTGCTTGTTCCTGGGATCATAGTATCATCTTCATCAGATTCTGTACTTGCAGTACCGGAATTGTTCTGTGTGAATTTTCTCTGAAGTACGTTACATCCTTGACTGAGCAGTGACCATACGTCTTCCATGAACAAGCGTTGGAACGGACACACCACATTGTTCAACTAGCCAACACTGCAGAGGAGAAGTTTGCCGAGGTCTGCAAGTTCTTCGGCGAGGATCCAAAGTCCACCGAGCCAGCAGCTTTCTTTGCGTACCTGATGAAGTTCTCTGCTTCGTGGAAGGTGCGTGCCTGTGTGTGAATGTGTGAATTTAAAGAATAAGGAAAGGTCCAATACGACACCCTGAACCTCAGTATACAATCAGCATAGCGCATCGTGGATACAATGTTCCTATGTAAGAAAATGTTGAGCCGCAATCAGCGAAAACGACCCTTAGAGATTTCGTAATGTTTTCGAGAAAAACGTTGATTTGTGACGTTCAACGATATTTTTGATCGCACTGCGAACAGCGCGACGAGTTATTTACTTCTTGAGCTCCTTGCTTGAAGTAAATGTTTTGAAGTAGCAGTTAGCCGAGTGGCGACTAAAGTGTTCCTTGATCTTGACGCGATGGCTGCGGACGCCAGAGCTCCTCGCAGAGCACGCGCGGCGGTCATTGTCAAAAGTTCGAGCCTGGTCGGGAGTAGCCACTGAAGTTCAGAGTGGGGATGAGACGTTTTTTGGTTCCGACATCGATGTCACCGAGTCGACAGCGAGGCGGAATCGCAGCCGTCATCTCCTGCTGCGAAGCGGCTCAAGGGGGCGGATGACTCGTCAGAGTCGGAAGATGAGGAGTCGTCCTCTGAGATGACATCTGTGTCTGAGGCTAGTGACGGCAGTGACGTCGTGTCTTCAGCTGCGGAGGAAGAAATGGAAATTTAGATTGCGGAACGACTCCACGCTGGATGCAGCTGCGAATGTGTCGATCATTCCCTCTGCAATCTTCAGCCAATCTTTGGTATCCTAGCTGCTTACTGCACTATTTCAAAGGTATTCAAGCTGCCCACCCACTTTTAGAATGCTGAATATTCATTGTACACATACATCGTATACATACATTGCACCAATTTGGAGTACATTTTGTATATTGGTGTATAGACCCGGTTTAAATGGACTTTTTCTTGGCTGAGGTCCTTCAGTAGATGTGTTTCAACAAAATTAATATCTAACCGAAAAGGATTTTTGAAATTTTTTACCCTAAGGGCTGTTTTCGCTGGTTGAGGCCCAAATATCTAACCGAAAAGGAATTTTGAAAATGTTGACCCTAAGGGCTTTTTTCGCTGGTCGAGGCCCGAATCTCAATGCGAGAGAAGCATGGCCAGCAATCGAGGACATCTGAGAGTTGTAATTTTTGTACTCCTCCGAGGTGTGATTTTTGGCATGCTGGGCCAAGCACAAGGAAGCCATCTGCAAAAAAACTGCAGAAAATGGTTGTTGTTTGATCCTTTGTTGTAATCTTTGTTTCTAGTCGAAGCTAGTTGCTGTTTGGAGCAGAAACGCTGAAATTGACTATTTTCTGCATGTACTCATACATGTACTCATGTACTCAGGCATGCAGTCTCACTAGTATTTTAGCTCTTTTTCTGGAATGGATGCTGCTCTGCGCCCCTTGGTGAACATTTCCTGCGCTCGTGGAGCAGCTGAAAAGGACCACTGGTATGTCTGGTTCCTGGTTTGAAAGTGGAGAGTCGACTTTTGTGCCTTGAAAAAGGAGTAGAGAGCGATAAAGGTACGTCTGTGGCTTATTTTTGAGTGCTCCTCGTACATTTTTGATCGTGATAGAAATTCTCAGACCAAAGTCAGACCAAAGTCAGCGCGATGATGGCCGTACCGTTTTCTTGTGGATTTTTTAGTTGTTTCATCTCGTATCTATGTCAGTATCATGATGGTGAAGTGGAGAGGGTGATTTTCTTCCTCTAGGCTTCGTTCGGCCGACTTTGCTTCGTCCTCGTTGAAAAGTGATCCTGAAAAAAAGGTCGATTCGCAAAATTATGTTGATTTTGAATGTACATGGTGACATGCGATTGCTGGCTATGTAAGAATATTCCCGACTGCATTTGACCGCAGTATGAACACTAGTAAATTGACGATACCTCCCCTGCCAACCTGCCCATCTCATATTGCTAAATACTCACAAAGCTACTAGTGTTACGGAGAATGTCATATAGTTAAATGTCGTATAGTTAAATACTCTCAAAGCTGCTAGTGTCACGGAGCATGTTTGGATTTGAGATGTTTTTATACACCAGCCAGAATTGGTTAGTTTTTTTGGGTCACTTGACAGACAGTCTTATTTGCCAACATCTATATTGTCCCGGGAGTATGCAAGTGGATAGAAAGAAACTACTGCCACAATGGTCTACAACGGACGCATTGGTGGAAGAAAGCTTGAGACGGAGAAAGCAAGATGCGAGGCTGGTCAAGTGATAACCTGGTAGTTCTGGGTTGTCTGCGGACTAGAATATGATATATTGTAGAGGCACAGCGTTGGAAGTTTTGTCTCTAGTGCAGCTATGCTAAGTCACCGAATCAGTAAGGTGCTGAATGGTTCTCATTGGTTGTAGTGTTTTGGACACAGAGTGGACTGGTTTTGGTCTGAAAAGGCCGCGATGCAGCGTTCGGCCCTTATTCCCAATCGAGCATGGGTGAGTAAGCTGTCACGTGCCCCTGCGCACACCAGTCACTTGGTCACTGTGCCCGCAGGCTACAACTTTTACAGCGTTCCTGTCACTCGAGTTGAACCTTGGTGTGAAAGTTGTAGCCTGCAGGCACGGTGACCAGATGACTGGTATACGCACGAGCACGTGACCGCTTACTTAACTGGGCTCGATTGGGAATAAGGGCCGAACGCTGCATCGCAGCCTTTTCGGACCAAAATCAGTAGACACAGCGTCCAGAAGACTACCACATATTAATGGACTAATCGCAGTCATCCGTGCTTTTGTAAGAATGAAATGGCGCTTTTAGTGAAATTTTTCCATACAAAACACAATCTAGTAAGGCGCAGTCACCCAGTTTCGGTGGAAGTGCGTGAGTTCGATTGGGAATGAAGAAGGAAGGGAGCGTCTCAGCTTCCTCGGACCTAGACCATTCGACTTAGCACCGTGAAGACTACAACTGGTGAAATTTGATTTTAGGGGTATACTTCTCCTTTAACCATAGTAGCCGAGGAGAGTTGTATGGTACAGTCCTTACTGGTTTCCTTTCCTGCACACACAATGTCATGTCCTTGCTTGACTTTAGGATGCTATTGGCAGGCAGGAAAGAGTCCAGCGCATGGTCCAGCATGCTCAAGCTACAAGCAGCAGCAGCAACAGCAGCAGCAACAGCAGCAGCACTGCCCTGAGACGACCAGAAGAGCTGTGCTTTGACAATGCTCACTTCGGTTCAGACGTTCATCCGACGAGTGCACCCAATTCCGTGTCCTCCGATACTCACTCTGGTCCAGACGTCCATCCAAAGGGTGCAGACAATTCCGTGTCCTCCCAGCCAGATGCTGCCAATCACTCCCGGCAATCGTGTCAAGCATCCCCAGAATCCTCACCTGGTACTCCGTGTGCAACGCCTGGCGAGGAAGAGCCAGAACAACCAAAGAAGAAACGGAATACTATTCGACAGCGTTCCCGTAATCTAGACTCATCATTCAGAAGACCGCATCGTGGAAAATCGCAAGCTGGAGAACAAGTGTCGTAGCCGGTAGCAAGAGACAACTTCAGATTTCTCAGATCCTGCTGCATCAGAGTGTCAATGAGGGCGAAGTGTCGGATATTTATCTTACCACCGCTTGTAGTGCTGATGTCAAAGTAGAAGGCGAAGCCACGACAGCCAAGGAGCATGTTGCAGCACTAAGCCAGAAGAATAGAAGCCGACAAGGCGGAAAGGGATACATTGTAGTGATTGACATACGGGGCATTATGTTCTTGTGAGAGATGAGGATGTTTTCATCGTCTTATGCATTTATGCATGGGCCTCAAAATTTGGAAATGCTATCTTCTGGATTCAAGCCTACCGTATTGGGGCACTGGTTCGTGCCAACTGTGAGTGGAATACAAGTTAACTAAATTTGACAGACATCTGATCCCGTGTGATCTGTGTTGAGATGTTATCTCCAGGTAGCAAGTAATGCACTTCGAGTATTCCCTGCTGCTCATTTTTTTTAAAGTTCTGTTGATGGTCAGCGTTTTCTAGTCTCTTTTGTCCGGCCACCTTTCGAATTTGTCACAGAACGACTTGCATTTTCTTGTGACGCGTACGTTGAGCATTAGACCTGTAGTGAAGAACGGGCACCTTTGTATGTTGAGCCTTTTTTTTTAACCCTTTAGAGCCTAAATTATTTCAGGAGACGCATGAAATTCACAAACTCACATTTTCATCTGACTGTAATTTCGATATCCTTTTGAGTATTCCAACAATCTCGGGCTCTATGGAAAGCTCTCTCCAAGACGAACACAGCCATACCCAGTTCGCAATTTTTAAATTAATGTGTACATGATTTTCCTATTCTTTTCTGCTCCTTATCCAGTCCTTGTTTTTTAATTTAAAGTTATTTTACTCGAAGTACAGTGAAACCTCGTTTAGAAGAACACTGATAAGACAAACTTTCGCTTTAGAAGAACTAGTGTTCATAACTGTAATGGATAGATTGCTGTGTATTCACTGGGTACAAAATACGGATAAGAAGAACTCCCGTTATTGCAAACAAATACCACCGGTCCCTTGGTGTTCGTCCTAAAGAGGTTTGACTGTACTTGATATTGCTACTGCCGCAGTGATTGGTTAATTCTGCTCTCTACTAATTCAACTGCATTATGCATGTGCTAGCTTCCCATGTACTGAGACATAGCAATCTAACTAGCAACGAACGTCTTCTAAAGTGCTCAGTTCCGCGATTTTCTTTTATTAACTCCTGTATGAGTTCGGCCTCAAGTCAGATTAGCAGGAACCTCTATACCTTGCTGATAATACCCATGTACCAGTTTTGTTCTTTACAAAAAAACACACACCATTTGATGGCACAAAGCAGCAAGGCAGCGATGAGACATATAGAATGGCAGGCCAGTACTAGTATTACAGTCATGTGTAAAATCGACGAGGAGATATTTTATTATATAAAAAAGAATCGCAATGAATAGTACGAAATGCAGTCATTTAGAAAATGCATAATACACACATCATCAATGGAACGATTTGGTTTCTCTGAGAAAGACTGAATGAATGGCCCATGTGTGTATAATTATGCATGTTCATACTGACTGCGTATTTTGTACTATTCAATATTCACAGTCATGTGTCACTTGAAGAACTTCAGTATCCATCAGACTTCCCCGCTGCAGTTGCAAATCCAATGCTGGCGACATTGCCTGATTTCTCTTACCTGTTTGGGAGTATAGTCATTGGGAAAGAGCGCGCTCACTATGTAATGTAAAAGTGCATTAAGCTAAGGCTCCTGTTTAAACGAGGAGACAACAAGTTGCCTCGGAATTCTAGTAGGTATTCTATACTAGCAGGTGTTCTGAACCAAGTGCTGAAATCAAACTGTCCAATGTCACTTCGGCTCGTCCTCCTTGAAGGCTCCTGTTGTCTGTATTTTTTTTAAGTGTTCTGATGTTGTTGGTCTACTGATGAACTCAAAAGAAAACACCCATGCTCCCATGTTGCCCTTAAGCCGGGCCTTGTGTCTAACTAACACAACATACTAGTAATATTGTTCTCATTCTGGCACGCTAGTTTCGCAGACAACATGCATGGGGAGCGTGCTACGTCTGATCAGGACTAGTCGACTGCAGTCATGAGTTGAGTGTGGCTACGAGCCCTGTTCTGTCATGATGCGCATGTTCGAGGCCAGTACATGAACAACAACAAGTACTAGTACTGGCCTTGCAGTTTCTGGTTTGCTTGTTCAGGCAGGGAGTCGTAGACCCTATACGGGGAGTCTATACGACTCCCTGGTTCAGGTGCAGACCAGTGATGACAGTGCTAGTAGTAGTAGTAGACTACACTAATCGCACATTTTCCACCGTTTCTCGTCTTTTTTTCCTTTTTTTTTCTTCCAAAGTTTGCAGTGGGACGCCCCATGGCCCGCCACCGTCCGTGACCTCATTAGTCGTCACTTCTATTCGCTGTCCGCTGTCCACATAGTCATTCACCCTCTCCACTAACACAGTACATGTATAATTTTTTTCAGGCCTCTTTTACTGGCAAATAAACACAATGGTTTAAAAATGCAATAAATCATACACTGGAGAAGAAATAATTGTATACTTATTGTTTACATCGTCCGGACACGACTACCGTACGAGTATCACTGTATTATATAACCTTACACTGGTTCAAAACCAGTATTAGATAAACCTTGTTATAAAATGAATATCACTGTAGTAGTAGGTAGGCCGCCACTAGCACTTGGAGTGTGGGAAGTACAAGTAGGGAAATTTTGTCGAGAGGCACAAAAGAGATCGCAAAGCGCACCTTTGCAGGGTTTTGAAGGGCGCTTCGAAATTACTCTCTACTGTACATCCCGCTCCCATATCATGCTAATAGTATTAGTAATACTTTCAAATCGATGAAAGACTCACGCAGGTCTGGATCCATACTCTAGTGTCCAGGCCTCAAAGAAGGGCGCAGTCGTGTTAAACATGTTACCAGCTTGTAGCTACACATTATCAGCGTTTTGATCTACTTATACCAATACTATACATTCACAATGTATATGTACATGCTGTCTCCATTGAAATGCGGTTAGGTCGCGAAGGAGGTACAATGCCGGAACAGGAAGCAAAAGGTCTTGGTTCAACAGGGCCGATCCTATGTCCCTCTCACTCATTTACTCCATTCAATTTTATTTTGTTTATTGAGGACATGACACAACCTACTCCAGAGAAAAGAATGGTAGACGACAACGTAAACACGTTTGTCAGGGAGAGTAGTGGCTCCAGGGTGGCGCCTGTGCTGCCTGGTGAAACCAGCCAACAACGCCAACTCTCTGTTCCCCGCGTTAATGCTAGCATGTGCATTATATAGGGTAAATATACTCAATCTGCGGACAGAACTGTTTCGTCCTTTGTGGGCTCGTCAGCGCAGCACAGAGGAAATGAGGCCGAACCTGATAGCGATGGAAATAAAAATTTCCAATCAGGCCCGAACGTACCTTGCCAGAGTGCTCAAACTGACAAGTCAGTGAGCTCTGCATAACGCAAACAGCAAAGGCACTACCCCACGCAAGAGTGCTCAACTGCTACAAGAGCAGGAGCGAAATACTCAATCTGCGGACAAGGGTAAATATATGGTGGAAACTACTAACAGGGAAAGCAAGAGCAAGAGCTTGCCACACTTGTGCAGAGGGGGAGGGGGAGGGGGGGGGGGGGGAGGTGAGGGTACGCTAGGGCCATGTATTCGCTTGATAGATTGTGCCAGTTTGTACTAAGAAATACTATTAGAGATAGCGGGTTACCTGGCAGCAAAGACAGTCCGATATCCGATCTCTGAACCACGGAGTCCAGCGTCAAAGGGAGAGGGAATGATGTAGTCTTCCACAGACACAATGTACAATTGCACATCATAACATGCACTAGGCAAGGTTTGGTCGGACGAGCTTCCCAGGCCTCACCACCACTGCCGTTTCTGTGCTGCCTTCTCGATACATACGCATGTACACTGTATATCATGTGCACATTCACATGTCTGAAGGTTTGTGGTTTTTCAATAAAAAATAAATAGAAAAACCCCGACTTGGCTCATTCACGTTATGCCTTTTGATTATGCGGATAATACAATGTACATGTGTACTTGCATCGAGTAGATTATGTTCCGATAACCACAACACTAAGCACAATGACGTGATGCTCGAAACAAAGTTTTTATTTCTTTCATCAAAATGTGAGAACGACAATGGACAAAGACCTCAACGCATGATGCTCCTAATTTGCCAAATATTTGGTCCGAAAACATCAATTTCTGACTTCCGGCGACAGTCGGAATCGAGAAGGTTGTAGGACAGTACATCTACATGATTCCATGAAGAAACCGCTGGGTCATGCTTACATGACTTGTCGACTACCCAATCATTTGCATTAGCCGTGGGAACTGAGTACATGAAAGTAAACCCGATGCGGCATCAAATCGGATTGTGATACTATATCAATTAGTGTCATCAAATGCGAAGACATCCCATAGTACCGACTCTTTAATGTGGAAGGAGCAGAGGAAATAGAACACGGTGCATGCTTGGGTCTTTGACCGCAGTGCAGTGTTTATTGCGCCCCGTGAGCGAAGCTATAGCTAAACAGTTCTGATAGGCGTTGTTTTGCAAGTGGCCCGTTTCCTGAGTGAAGAACGCCTCAAGACGTGTTCTTATCCTTCTCCATTGTCTTTTGTAGTGTTTGCCACCATATGTGGAGTACATACAGTTCTGATAGTTGAGCAGAGACAAAGAGAGAGCGAGATCGAGAGAGACGTGATGGGTTCTGTACGTGATCGCTGAGCCGGAGAATCATGCACATCAACCTCCTACTCTTCTCGAGAACCATATTCCCCTCTCTGCACGCACTTGCCAAGGCAGATTCCATTGTGCTGGCCACTATCAGACTGTCTAAAAATAGACGGCAGCTTGGCGTGAACGTCGCGTAAAAATCACGCCTCGACCGGGTAAGGTTGACGGCGTCATCATCCCACACTCAAGACCCTTAGACCACCTTTTGTCCTCGCAGACTAAACTATTTGAACTTCTCCAAATTATTCTAATGATTATATCCCGTCCAATACAGTCCCCCCGTCGATCCCCGGACCACAAATGCCGCACCATTAATTAGGCAATACCCACACTCAGATGACTAAAGAGGACCTGCTAAACTGGAAAGGCAACTGCTGTTTGTGCTGTGTTCGGGACCAGTCAGTGTTCTTGGGTCTGGCAACTTCCAAACGAATACTAGTACCGTGTTTGTGCTATCCACCTGTGATTCTAGAACCTAGATCAGTCTGGTACGTGTAGAGATAGAATTTATTGTTGCACTACAAAGAGTCCCAACAGACACTGACAGCGCCTGATTACAAGGAACCATACATGAAGTCAACAATGCCGGATGATTGTCGCTGACGACAGTCAGAAAGAAGAGCATTGCACTGATCTACTGCGGCAAAAGAAACTGAGCACAATCCATGAGCACTGCATTCTACGACCTTTACGGCCTGCAATGATTTAGAAATAGGTGAAAGGTCATAGCATCCTGGCCGCGGTGCAGGTATTCTAATTCATGTATGGTTGTGCTGGGCGAAGATGATGATTATGATTATGATTATTATTATTCTTTATTTCCACGATGGCCTATGGCCAATAAGGATTCAAATCAGTCCAGAATCATATAATCAGTCTAGCAAGAAAGGAAACCAACACATTGCAATGATGATTACAGAAGATGGCTAGAACTGGAGAATAACCAGCAGTAGACTTAGAACGTATGCAGGTACTAGCAAAAGTCCATAACCCCTCTTGGTACCAGGAATGTCACAAAATCACTATTTAAAAGCCACCCTTACGTTCTCTCTACATTGTATGTCAAAGCTACTGTGGATCTGCATGTGCAGCTTACATGTATACCTCAAACACATACCTTGTAGTTCATGATAGTCAAGGAAAATGTGCTAGTAGACTCGTCACGACCAACACAACGTTTGCTTTTTTTTCCTTTATGCATATCGTACATGTACGTGTCAGTACAGGTCTATCAGGTAAAGAGGTCTCTTTGCGACTTTCCTGTTTCAAGATAATTATGCATATGTGTAATTTGTTTTGTTTTTTTAAACTCAGATGCCCACAATTTCCATGTTTTTTTAGGAAGTACATGTATATTGCATAATAAAAATAAAA